CGGTTTGGAGGGATGGCCGGGAGCGGCACGATGAAGATTATAATTTGGGCAGAGCGGGGCCATGAGTTTCCTGCGGCTGCAACGACAGATGGTTAGAGCTAGGCCGCGGGGAATAAGACGATGATTTTTTTTTGAAAAGGAGGATGATCCCCGACCTCTACATCTCGGTGATGCATGCATTCATTTTATTAATTATTCTCAAAGACCTTACAAAGTAATACATCAGTAAGTCTGAAGCCACCATCATGGCAACATCTATTACAACTCCTAACCACTTGATGAAGGGGTGCTGAAAGTCCGAGCCGAATACCAAGCAGACCTCGCACCAAAACCTAACATCTAAAGTCGGAGGCCCCAGCCAAGCCTCTTGGCGGGTCTGGGGCACACACCGATCTAGCGCACTCTGAGAGGTCATCGTTGTTGTCTTCCACTGATCCATCTTCAGAGCAGGTATTGACGCATCAACCTTGGCAGGTTTGTCGTCGAAGCCACCATGGCGCTAGACAACGCCACCTCCCTACGCGTGTCCATCATCATACATCCGTTGCCGAGACTCTGCTGCGTCATACTGCCGAGATTCCATGATGCGTGACATGGGATGCCGCTCCACAGCTAAAACCGTCCATTGGTCCCTCGAGGCAATGCACACCTCCAAGAATTTAAATGGTACCTATGTGGTTTTTTGAGGAAAATTGAAGGTTATCTTGCAAAATTTTCAACCTTGGAGCATGCAGGGGGATATAAAATGGTACTTATGAAGTTTTTTCAACCCCTCACTCCCTCGACCTCCGCCACTGGCGATTTGGAGGGATGGTCGGGAGCGGCACGATGAAGATTATGACTCGAGCAGAGCGGAGCCACAAGTTGCATGGGGCAGCGACGGCAGATGGTTAAAGCTAGGTTCCAGGGAATAAGAAGATGTTCTTTTTGGAAAAGGAGGATGACCCTCGTCCTCTGCATCTAGGCGATGCATGCAACCATTTTATTAATTATTCACAAAGACCTTACAAGTAATACATCGGTAAGTCTGAAGCCACCATCAGGGCAACATCTATCGCAACTCCTAACCACTTGATGAAGGGGTGTCAAAAAATTCAAGCCAAATACCAAACAGACTTCGCATCAAAACCTAACATCTAAAGCCGGAGGCCCCAGCCAAGCCTCTTGGCGGGTTTGGGACACACACCGGTCCAACGCACTCTGAGGGGCCGTCGCCGCCGTCTTTCGCCGATCCATCTTCAGAGCAGGTACCGACGGATCGACCTTGGCAGGTCTGCCGTCGACGCCACCATGGCGCTAGACAATGACACCGCCCTACGCATGTCCATCATCATACATCCGTTGCCGAGACCCTGCTACGCCATGCTACCAAGACTCCACATCATCGATGCGTGACATGGGACGTCACTCCACCACTAAAACCGTCCACTGGTCCCTCGAGCCAATGCACACCTCCAAGAATGATGCCCCCAAGAAGGGAACAACACAAGAGCGCCACCATCATCCGGTCGACTGATCAAGGGCTTCCCTCGGAGGTAGGGAGAGGAGTTGGGAGCTTCACCTCGATGATGCCTTCATGAAGGAAGGCGATGCCAGGGGCGTCACCATCACTGGCTCCGGCCACCAACCATAGACCGGGTTTTCACCCGAATCCATCCCAAGAACATCCAACCGACAACCCGTGCATCTGCAAGATTACCTTCAAAGCCCCGGGGCTAGCTGCCCAGATCCGGCGATCGTCCACAGCCGCACTGCGACCGCGGTGTATCCTGACGCTCCGGCCTCTACCGAAGGGCACCACCACTGGAGCATGGAGAAAACTGCCACCCCACCGTGCCATGCCGGAAGAGCCGTTTGGGTGAACCCCAAGCACGCTCTTCGCCGTCTCAGTACCGAATCGCCCAAGATGGGGGCGACGCGGGACGCAACGAATAAGAAGATGGATGAACAATATGTTCACCTTGAAAGTTCTTCGCGGATAGGTGCTCCCATTTCTGCGAGTCCGCTGAAGCACAATCAATAAAATAGTGGGACGGAGATGAAAATGAGGAGCAGCTAGGCATGTCAATCACCTAGGCCCGTTTGTTGTTCCTCAACAAAAAAAGAAAAACCTAGGTCCGTTTGGTTGGTCCGAGGACAAATGTAGGGGTACCGGCACGCACGGCGGCCACATTTGGTGCGTACTCTACTTCCTCGGTGCCTTTCTCAGAGAGGAGGGAGGCACACAGGGAAAAGGAAGGACGAAGGGAGAACATCCCACAGTTGGCAAGCTACAGTAGCACCAACCAGCTAGGCGCGCCACCAATTTGGCATACGATACGGCTCGGGCTCGGGCTCACCACCGGCGCGTGTGTCCCGGGAAGAATCCCATTCTTACGTGCTCATCATCGATCCAGTAGTAAGTACTCCTGCTGCTCCGGCGCCCGTACTGCTATTACAGGAATCTAAAGTACCGCCAAGTTGCGCCAGACCGGGGTGCGCAAAGGCGATTGAAGGAAGCCCACTGCACCGAAGGAGCTAGTGGCCATCTTTTCAGCTCGAGCCGGGAGGGAGGCCGAGGAGAGAGAGAGAGAGAGAGAGACCTTTCTTGGTTTCTGCCCTCTGTCCGTCCCCACTGTCATTCATTCATTCATTCATTCATATACTAGTCCTGCATCCACATCTCCTCTCCTCTCTCTCTCTCTCTCTCTCTCTCTCTGGTGCCGCTTCTTGCTTGCCATTATTAGATGGTCTTCCCCAGCTGAGCCTGAGATGCGAGCGGGCTTTGCTTGATAGATTCCCCTCTCCGCGGCGCAGACGACCACCCGCCGGCCGCCCCTGCCGTCGCTCTGGTTCGTCCTAAATCCCCCTCTCCGGTTTTCCATACGTGTACGAGTGCTCTGCTCTGCTCAAAGTTGTCTCTGCTGTTGGGTGGAAAATCCCTGGCCTTCTGAAAGTCAGGGGGGGCTCTGCTCTCTTCTTTCCAAGCTGATCTCCTCTCCTTGTGGGCACAGCCATGGAAATTGCTCCTCTTCTCTCTGGCCAACACAAAACGTGTTCGCCTCTCCTGGCTCTCTCTCTCTGCCCCGGTTTCTGCCGCCTCTTCGGATTTCACCTCGGCCGTCGTCTCCCCTGCCGGCGTCTTGGTTTCTTGCGCGTTTCCTGTGGCATATCCACTAGCTCATGGCATGCATCTCGATGCTACGGTTCTTGCCCCATCTGTCCTGCCTGCTTCTCGGGGGCAGCTCCCCTCCCTCCCCACTTGCTTCGTTTCTTTAATTTCATAATTTTTATTCCCCGCGATTGCTCGTTTTTGTTTTCACCTCCTCGGCTCCTACACTCATCTCTCTGAATTCCTCTTTAATTATTGGTTTGGCATGGGTGGTTGGACGCTTAGCTAGGCTAAAGATCCTGCAACACCATTCTTGTCCTGGCCCGAAGAGAATCCAGCCTCTGACACTCTTGTTTAATTCCTTCCTTGCCAAAGCTAGGCAGCGATGATGAGCTTCAAGGGCCACGACGGATTCGGGCAGGCCTCCAATGGTGGTGGTGGTGGAGCCTCCGTGCCATGGTGGACGGTGTCCCAGATGCTGTACGGGGAGCCGGGGGCCGCCTTGTCGTCGTCGCCGGAGGCGGAGCCTCGCCGGGACGCCCAGTTCCAGGTCGTGCCCAGAGCTCAGGGCATCCTGGATCCACTGCTGGCGCCCAAGAGCGGGGCTCCTGAGGTCCTCAAGTTCTCGGTGTTCCAAGGTGAGCCTGCTCTGCCTCCTTGCTAGCAGCTTGTGGAATTAATGGTTACTATTGCAAGAATTTGGCATCGCTTCTTTGGATCTGTGCATGCTACCATGCCGGTGAACACAAGGTTGAATTACATGTCCCATGGCCTAGTTTGAAATAGGATTCCATAATCATGTAGTAAATCTTAAATCTTGGCAGACCCTTCTGCCAAGATATGCATGTGAGTTTAGAATGATATGGCACTTCACTCTTTTCTCCTCCTCATATGACGAAAAAAAAAATCCCGGAAGAAAATATGTATGATGCAACAACTTGGTATGAACTACTAGATGAATTTGCGTATGATGGGTGCTGATGAACAAGACTTGTGAACAAGTTTAAAGAGTGACGAGGGCTGCAGGCTTGCTTTTATAGTATTATCCAAAATATTGGAAGGGCACGGATTACCTAAGCCCAAGATTAGGAAAGAAAATACCAATCAGAATATTATATTTTGAAGACGTAGCAGTTGGGTCTCCAAGTCTGTTATTTTTGTACTGACTAAGATAAGCTTTTCTCTGATGAAGATGGTATTAGTTCACAGCCGAGCTGGATATTCTGCTCCCGTGTTTGTTCGCACAATCATTAGCCCTATTTATTTTTATGTACACGAAAGCATGCCCTATCTCTATGTGCTCAGTTATGCAAAAGGCCGGGTGTGAACTCATCGTGCTTATATTACCGCGATGCGTCATTATGAGTCAATAAAAGTGCCCTTTATCAAAAATAAAATGTGGTAAGGCACATGTGCTTCTTTTACAGTGATGTGATAAGGCACATGTTTGATGGTTACTGTTTGACATTTTGAACATGAAATTGGTTTTGGCCTCGTCTAACCATATACTAATCAGATACACGGTAGCTCTTGATGGAATCTGATACAGCTATTCACTTCAAAGATTCCATGAGTAACATACACGTCTGTCCAACCACATGGAGCTCACCTGTATAGTAATATAAAGCTTACATCTCCATTTCGATAATACTAATGCAGATAAGGAAGCATCAGCATCTAGCAGTTTAAAAAATTGATCTAGGTTACATAGTACACTTTTGTGGTTGGGGTTTTGAGAAACTGTGATGCTCAGGGAATTTGGAGTCGGGAGGCAACAAAGGAGAGAAGCCCATGGAGCACTCCGCCACCATCGCACTGCAGTCGCCGCTCCCGGAATACAACAGTCGCTTCGAATTTGGCCCGGGTCCTTCCATGGTATGCTTTTCGATTACTGCTATTTTATGTTCAAAATATGGTTGGAATTTGTCCAACTTTACAGCTGAAAATTGTTTCGGGATGTCTCCAGTTTTCAGTTGCTAACTTGCCACATGTGTTTCAGATGTCTTCTGGTTATCCTTCAGCTGAGCAGTGCTATGGCCTGCTTACCACTTACGCGATGAAATCTACGGTAAGCTTTGGTGTGTTTTGTGTGCTCTATTTTGGGAGCCTTCTTTTTTCTGTGATATTATTCTCTAACGCCGCCTTCTTTTTTTGTGTTGCTCGTAGCCTGGTGGCCGATTGCTCTTGCCACTGAATGCAACAGCTGACGCGCCGATTTACGTGAATGCGAAGCAGTATGAAGGCATCCTTCGCCGCCGCCGTGCTCGTGCCAAGGTGGAGCGAGAGAATCAGCTGGTGAAAGGAAGAAAGGTAAGCCTGCACTTCCACCACCAAGTCCATGTCATTTACAGAGATCGGGGAAAACAAACCTCTTCATTTGCCAACAAAAAAAACGTCACTCAACATTTCATTCAAATATTCTCATCGCCGCTTATGACCATGTTTTGAAACGAAGGCAAAAATATTTACCTCATCGATTATGGTCATGGTGCAGCCGTATCTTCACGAATCACGCCACCGCCACGCGATGCGCCGGGCGAGGGGCACGGGAGGGCGCTTCCTCAACACCAAGAAGGAGGGGAATGGCAAGGACGCTGGAGGAGGAGGCAAGAGGGCAGAGTGCGCCCCGCCCACGCGCTTCGCCACGTCTCCGAGCTCCGTCATCCCGAGCAACCCGCACTCCCGGAGCAGCATCTCGAGCCTCTCCGGCTCGGAGGTGTCGAGCATGTACGACCACGACGACGTGGACCACTACAACAGCATCGAGCACCTCCGGACGCCCTTCTTCACCCCGCTGCCGATCATCATGGACGGCGAGCACGGGGCATCCGCCCCCTTCAAGTGGGCCACGGCCGCCGACGGCTGCTGTGAGCTCCTCAAGGCGTGACTTGAGGGGGGTACACGCAGGCACCCAGATCAAGAGCCGGCCATGGCCGGCTCTGGCTCCGTCTGGTTGTCTGCAGGCAAATCATTCTTGGCTCTACTGCATTGGGGTGTCCTTCCACGTCGCATTACCTCTTCCCTGAGAACTCCGGTGCTGGTTCTCAGGGATCTTGTGATGATGGGGCTCCCCATATGCCTGTAAAATAGTATCGGAAGCACTAGCAGTGTACTACGGGTATGAACTCTGTGGTACTATCAGGTATCTGTGTCAGAACTCAGAATAAGTATCAAACTTCAGGGTCTTGTGGTGTATTATTAGGGTCTGAAACTTTGTGCCCTTGGCAATGTACTGGGGTAAGTTGGAGTTTTTGTTTGTTTTGTTTTTGATAAGCTTTAAGACATTAAATCTATTGTGCTCGCAATATATGATTTGTAAGCTTGTCTGCATAATAATTAGAAATGTTACCGGTTTGTTTGATATTACTGCAATTTTTTACAGCTTGATTTGACATTGGGATTGTTCCTCGGTTCACTGACAAATAAAAACACAACACCATTTTCTTTAACAATTATAAAACCCTTCCAGGGGAAAAACAACGTGCACGGCTGCGATCTTCATATATCATTCACACACCTCTGAATTCAAACTCCAACCTAGACTTTCCAGTGATTCAGTATGCAGATGATACAATTTTAACCCTTCCTACCGTTCAAAGCCAACTTGAGCAAGTGGATAATCTGCTGAAGCATTTTGCCGCACAAACAGGGTTGAAAATAAATTTCCACAAATCCATCATGATACCCATCAATGTGAAGGAGTTCTTTGCACAACTTAATACCCTGGGATGCAAAAGAGGTAGCTTTCCATTTACATATCTAGGGCTCCCCCTAAGTGCCAGTAGGCTCAGGATTGAAGATTTCACCCCAATCTGTAAACAAACTGAAAGAAGGATGGCAGGATGCTCAACCATGCTTTCATAGGATGGAAGATTTCTTCACACTAAATCTGTTTTTTGCCAATCTCTTTCATGAGCACCCTTGCACTTCCCGCGTCAGTTACCAGCCAGATCAACAAGTATTTGAGAAACTTCCTATGGAGAAAGTATGGTCATCGGATTGTTGGACATGCCCTTAGTGCCTAGGATAAAGTATGCAACCCAAAAGCTCAAGGAGGTCTAGGAATATTAGATGTGGCACTACATAACAAGGCTTTGATGATGAAGAATATTCAAAAATCTATCAACAAACAACCTTTGCCTTGGGTGGAACTAATATGGGAAACATATTACTCTGATTCTCTCCCTGGGTTTAAGATGGAGGGCTCCAGTTGGTGGAAAAGTCATTTGAAGCTGCTACAAGAATACATAAAGGAAAACTCTGTTTGCACACTAGGAAATGGACAATCAGTCCTCTGGCATGACTGTTGGTTGGATCAGCCTCTCAAGCATAAGTTCCCAGAATTGCATTCATATGCACAGGATGATACCCAATCTGTTGAATTGAGGATACAACATATGGACATAGCCCAACCCTTCAACACACCTTTGTCCACACATGCATATAACCAATTTACTCAGCTACAGAACCTTCTGCAAAATCAAGGCGTTCTAGTGAAAGACAAATGGGCATGCAAGGGTCAAAAAACAGAAGTTTTCCTCAATCATTATAAATCAGCATCTATGCCCACAACAAGAAGAATAATTCATCTTCAAATGGCTATGGAAATGTGCATGCAGACTCGGACACAAAATCTTTTTCTGGCTATTGCTTCATGATAGAGTAAACAGTAGAAACCTGCTGAAAGGGAAAACCTTCTTCCTGGAATGTTATGACTACGTATTTTGTCATGAAAATGCAAAAGAAACCTCTAGACAACTTTCTTGGGATTGTGACTTTGTCCAAGACTGCTGGAATAGTATTCTTCCTTCAAAAGATTGGGGATCTCATGCTTAGATGATATTGTTATTGCCCATCAGCTATATTACCAAAAAGTATTGCAATAGAAATACTCATACAAGGCTGTTGGGCCACCTGGAGACAAAGAAATGGGAAAATCTTCAGAAGTGCCTAGTATCAATTGCTGGAAGTTCATATTAAGAGAGGGCCTAAGTTTGCTAGAACATGGAATCAAGGAAAGCACCTAGGCACTTTGCAAAGGTGGATTAGTGACCATCTAGCATGATCACATGCTGAACTGAATTTATATCGGTTTCTTCATGTTTCATAGAACTGGTATTGGTTAAATAGTTGTTTGCTTCAGGTTCTTTCTATTTGTAAATATTGTAACTTTATTCATATTAATAGAAAATTACCATAGAACTTCTATAGTTTGCGACAAAAAAATCTTCACTATATCAGGAGAGAAAAAAGAGAGTATTTGAAGGAAATATGCCGAAAGTTGTTATTTATATTTCCTTATATCATGATAAATGTTTATTATTCATGCTAGAATTGTATTAACCGAAAACTTGATACATGTATGAATACATAGACAAAACAAAGTGTCCCTAGTATGCCTTGTTATTTATATTTCCTTATATCATCATAAATGTTTATTATTCATGCTAGAATTGTATTAACCGAAAACTTGATACATGTATGAATACATAGACAAAACAAAGTGTCCCTAGTATGCCTCTACTTGACTAGCTCGTTAATAAAAGATGGTTAAGTTTCCGGACCATAAACATGTGTTGTCATTTGATGAACGGGATCACATCATTAGGAGAATGATGTGATGGACAAGACCCATCCGTTAGCTTAGCATAATGATCGTTAAGTTTTATTGATATTGCTTTCTTCATGACTTATACATATTCCTGTGACTATGAGATTATGCAACTCCCGAATATCGGAGGAACACCTCGTGTGCTATCAAACGTCACAACGTAACCGGGTGATTATAAAGATGCTCTACAGGTGTCTCCGAAGGTGTTTGTTGGGTTGGCATAGATCGAGATTAGGATTTGTCACTTCGAGTATCGGAGAGGTATCTCTAGGCCCTCTCGGTAATGCACATCACGATAAGCCTTGCAAACAATGTGACTAATGAGTTAGTTGTGGGATGATGCATTATGGAACAAGTAAAGAGACTTGCCGGTAACGAGATTGAACTAGGTATGAGGATACTGACAATCAAATCTCGGGCAAGTAACATACCGATGACAAAGGGAATGACGTGTGTTGTCATTGCAGTTTGACCGATAAAGATCTTTGTGGAATATGTAGGAACCAATATGAGCATCCAGGTTCCGTTGTTGGTTGTTGATCGGAGATGTGTCTCGGTCATGTCTACATAGTTCTCGAACCCGTAGGGTCCACACGCTTAACGTTCGATGAAGATTTGCATTATGAGTTATGTGTTTTGGTGACCGAAGATTGTTCAGAGTCCCGGATGAGATCACGGACATGACGAGGAGTCTCGAAATGGTCGAGAGGTAAAGATTTATATATTGGACGATAGTATTCGGACACCAGAATGGTTTCGGAGCGTTTCAGATATTTTTCGGAGTACCCAGGGGTTACCGGACCCCCCCCGGGAAAGTAACGGGCCAACATGGGCCATAGGGGAGAGAGAGGGGAGCCCACAAGGGGTGGCGCGTCCCCCCCATGGATAGTCCGAATTGGACAAGGGGAGGGGGCGCGGCCCCCCTTTCCTTTCCCCTCTCCCTCTCCTTCCTCCTTTCCCCCTTCGAAAGAAAGAAGGGGGGGGGGCAACTTGGACTAGGAGTCCTAGTCGGTTTCCTCCCCATGGTGCGCCCCCTTAGGCCGGCCTCCTCCCGTCCTCCTTTTATATACGGGGGTAGGGGCACCCCAAAGCACACCAATTGTTCTCTTAGCCGTGTGCGGTGCCCCCCTCCACACTTTACTCCTCCGGTCATATTGTCGTAGTGCTTTGGCGAAGCCCTGCGCGGATCACATAACCATCACCGTCACCATGCCGTCGTGCTGATGAAACTCTCCCTCGACACTTTGCTGGATCAAGAGTTCGAGGGACGTCATCGAGCTGAACGTGTGCTGAACTTGGAGGTGCCATACGTTCGATACTTGATCGGTTGGATCGCAAAGACGTTCGACTACATCAACCGCGTTAAGTTAACGCTTACGCTTTCGGTCTACGAGGGTACGTGGACACACTCTCCCCCTCTCGTTGCTATGCATCTCCTAGATAGATCTTGCGTGATCATAGAATTTTTTTGAAATTGCATGCTACGTTCCCCAACAGTATTTATCAACATAGGAGATTAAGATTTACAAGTCAACTCATGTGATGCGGCTTCTAAGATGTGTATATAGGTGGCGTCTACGTAGGGGTGCAAGAGGCGGCCCATTTATCGTAAAAACTAGCCAATTAGTTCACTAAGATTAACATAAAAGGGCATGCTTTGTTGATCACATAACACCCATTCGGGTTGTGGAGGATCAAATTTGACCCGTGCGTGATCAACTCAAAGTAGCCTAGAGTCTGACACTGGAGGAACAGTCAAATCGACCGTTCCCAATGAGTCCAGCCCCAAGCGAGCGCAAGGAGGGAATGCGACTACACGCGCAGGGACGAGCATCGATGGTGATTTGGACGGCGAGCAATGATGGTAGAAAACCTAGACGACGACCATCCGTGAGCGCTTCACCACCACTTCATCAATGGCGGTAAGCCCTTTCCTGCCTAATTTAGGGTTCGATTTAGGCTTGGTTTAGGGTTTGATAGGGCTTGATTTGGTGTCCCTTTAGAGTTTGGTTTAGGGTTAGATTTGGGGGAAGAACACCTACATATGGGGGTAGATTAGTGTGATTTGGGGGAACATGGGCTCGGTTTTTAGTGGTAAATTAGTGTGATTTGTACAAAGGTTGGTTCTACATATTCTAGTTGTGATCCTTATACCAAATCTCCCCTTCTACATGACAACTTGTAGTGAAGATAATCACCATTGTAGTCCAGGTCCATGTGTAACATGCTTATGTTATTCACCACAGTGCTTTGCCTGCAAGTTGGTTCTTAGCAAT